GCTCGGCACCCTCAGACCCACGACTCCCCCACCTAAGACTCCAGTACCCAGCTTCGCCTCTCGCAGCTCTTCCTGTACACGTCACACCCAGAGTCTACTTAGCCACATCTGCCAACGCCATCAGCATTCAGTCATGGTTTGTGACTACCCCAGTTCGGATCCTAATGCCGATCAACCGGGCAAACCTACACAACTTAAAGAGTAAGTCAACCTTCCTTATTCCGGAGTGTCACCGCAACCTCGTCCTCCCTGGAGGATCGCCTAAACGCTCCAAGATAAACTCTGTGTTTTGCCTTCCCGACTCTAGCACTTCTGCACTTGGGTCGCCAGTCACGCCACAGCTCAACTCCTGTCTTACCAGTCAGTCAAGCCTCTTAGTCTGACATTGGTAAGGTCTTGCTCGAACACAAAAATGCCATTATCTTGTAATGACTTAGGTCTGTACTGCCCCCATCACCAGGGAAAATACACACTCCTACCATTATGGTTCCCCTGGAGGAGTTGGCCCAAGTGGCTGGGGAGAGGGAAGTCTGGGCCTTTCTGTTTAGGCGACTGCCCCCACAACCTGAGCCCAGATAAGCAAAAGAGAATGGATGGATGGACGTTAAACCTGAGTTCTGCCCATGGTTTGGAGGGATGTTTTATTTGCTTGTTTTCTTGAGAGGTGGGCATTGTTATGAAGTGACTAAGTGAAGAAGCTAAGTGAAGCTAAACGGGAAGACATAGCACGATGGCGAACACTGTGCCCCCATCGGGAGAGATGAAAATGACTGGCGACCTTGCAGACAACTGGGACAAATTCAGGTTGGAGTTTGAAGATCACATGCTGGCAATGGGGCTGAATGAAAAAAACGAGGAGGGACAGGCGGTGACGGGTAGTGGGCTGTGATTGCCAACACATATACAAACACAATTTGGGACTCTAAGGGAGCAGGCGAAAGACCCCGCGGTCATCCTCGATGCTCTGGGTGCACATTTTAAGCCAGCCACGAATGTGATATTTGAAAGATATGTATTCAGCAACTGCAAGCAGGACAGGGGAGAACCAATCGATGCATTTGTAACACGTCTAAGGGAGAAAGCTGCATCATGTGAGTATGGCGACCTCAAAGAGGATCTCATAAGAGACGGACTGGTGTTGGGCGTATGTGATGAAGCTGTGCATCATCGCCTGCTTAGAGAGAAAACGCTCACCCTCGCATCAGCCATAGAAATATGTCGGGCCACAGAGTTGACTGACATGGGTCTAAAAGCGATGTCACATGATAGAGCTCCAGACATTGTGCATGCTACAGACAGCCAGCAGCCGTGGGCTGAACTGAGGCAGACCTGCCATGACAGGTCTCAGAACCAGACGCCCAGACTGGGCAAAGATACACCTTGCAGATTTTGTGGGAACAGACATCGGTGCAGACGTGAATCATGCCCCGCATATGGAAAGAACTGCCGCTACTGCAGAACGGCAAACCATTTTGCAAAAATGTGCATGAAGAAAGGTCAGACCTCTATGAACCCATCTGCCATGGAGCCACAAATATATGCAACAGAGAGCATTGGGGCAGTGCAGGGGTGTGGAAACACGTGGTTTGCTAATATTAACATGAATGGGGATTGCAGAGAAGCCAGCTAGATTCTGGGGCGACCTGCAATGTTATGAGTATAAAGGACATGAGGAGACTGGCTGAGCCAAGCCAGACCAGACAAGTTTTATATTCAGGACAGTCTGTCATCGATAGGCATATTTAACACTGTGTGGTGAGAGGAAAAACCCATGAGCTGAGCTTTGAGATCGTGAGGAGCAGCCAGAGACCCCTGTTGTCAGGCGACACCTGCGAGCGTCTAGGCTTAATGTACTTTACCATACCAAAGGAACTACCTGTGGTAGAGTACAGCCATTCAGGTCCATTGACTAAGCAGCATCTTATCAGCACCTATGATGATGGTTTTAAAGCGCCAGTTGATGCGCTCCCAGGCAAGGTTCACTTTGTGTTAGATAAGGACGTAGCGCCAGTGCAGGCGTCACCACGCAATGTTCCAGTGGCTCTCAGAGAGGCTGTTAAAGCTCAGCTGGACAAGCATGAGAGAGATGGGCACTTAGCTTCAGTGTACAAACCAACGGGCTGGATCAGCAACATGGTGAGAGTCAGGCAGCCAGACAAACTAAGGATTTGTATTGCCCCCAAGTCACTGAGCCTAGCTCTGAAGAGGTCCCACTACATAATGCCCACACACAAACTCCCCAAGGCTTGTGTTTTCACCCTCGTAGATGCGTGCAATGCGTTTTTGCAGCGTAGGCTGGATGAGGAGTGCAGTTATGCGACAACATTATGGACACCGTGGGGCAGGAAGCGTTGGTTGAAACTGCCTGTTGGGGTGTCGTGGCCCAGAGATATATCAGAGAAAACAGCATGAGCTTCCGGCAGGGCTGAAGGGGGTAGAACAGATTGCAAATGGTATCCTGGTAGTGGGGTGTGGGGACAAGGATGAGAAAGTGACAAGAAACTATAGAGCTCCGGGAGTTGACGTCACTTTTCCTGGCATGCAACAGTTCAAATCAAAACGGCACCATCTTGGCAGGCAGAAGCCGGCAGCTGGACTATTTCTTATTGTCAGAAAACTCAATCAAATGGGAAATATGGTAGATTCCTGTTGTGCCCCAGGATGCAGAACAGACGGGGACGACATAAGGAATGAGCCATCTACAGGATTCCCCAAGATCCGGAGCGCCGCAAACGTTGGATCATTGTAATAAAACGCGCTAGTGACCGGGCTAAAATGAAACTGTGGGATCCCGAGTAAAGGTTTTCGCTTATGCAGCGACCGCTTCATATCAGGTACTTAAACCAACGTTTCCTCAACTGTGTATGGTATTTATTTTAAATGCTTTTATTACGATTCTTAGTGGGCTTCCTAAACTTATTTTGGCGTGGCTTTTTCTGTCTCATTACTCATAGCAACAAGTAAACATCACTTAAAACGTTGCCTCGTGATTTCTGCGTGCTGCCGTTTACGTGTTTTATGATCACAGCAATTAACCGGCTAAGCTGTATTTAATTTTTAAGCAATGGTTGATCAATTGTCAGATCACACATAAAAAGCACTTTGAAATGCTATTTTCTGTCTCACCGAGACCGATCTCAGACAGATCCTGAGACGCTCCTGCCTGACATATTTATTTTTTTCACGGAAAACAATCAAACTAGTGATTTCTCTTGGCGTTCAGTTTATACATTCAAACAGCACAGCACTCTATTTAAACTACTTACATGTAAATCTGTTATTTGTCCATCCATCCATTTTCATCCGCTTATCTGGAGTCGGGTTGCGGGGGCAGTAGCGTCGAGAGTCCCAGTCTTCCCTCTCCCCAGCCACTTGGGCCAGCTCCTCCGGGGGAATCCCAAGGGGTTCCCTGGCCAGGTCCGGCAAGAAGTCCGCTCCGACAGCTTCTGGCGTTTTTAAAAAAAAATTCCCAGGGGCACGGTAAGGGTCGGAGATGTTTAGTTTATTTAATTTCTGACAATATGAAACGATTTCTTCGGTTTTAAAGTGTGAAGTAAACTCCGACGAAGTAAAATCCAAGCCGATCCCATTCATTTTGTTTACCTATGTTGCCTGCCAACATGGCGTCTACTCTCTGAGAGTCACGTGACGTCCAGAGCTCTATTGGAGCTTGTGGACAGATACAGGGAGGTGAGGCAGGGAGACTTAGACTGAGCTTAAAGAAAGTGCAGTTCAAGGTCAGGGAGGTCAAGTTTCATGGACACATTTTATCAGCAGGTAGACCCAGGGTTGACCCGGAGAAAGTCAGAGCTGTTCAGGAGATGCTCACCCCACAGACACCAAAGCGGTGCAAAGGCAGATAGGCTTTGTGGCCTACCTGTCGAGATTCACCCCACATCTCTCGGAGGCGTGTGAGCCACCACGGAGGCTGCTGGACAGGGACGTCCCGTGGCACAGGCTGCCAAAGCATGACGCTGCTGTGGAAGAGATCAAGCAGCTTGTCACAACAGCTGTGATAACAGACAGTGGGCCACGGTTCGACTATGAAACATTCAGAAGGTTTGCAAAGCAATAGGACTTCGACCATGTGATGTCCTCGCCCAGGCATCCGAAAGCAAATGGAAAAGCAGAGTCTGCAGTAAAAATGTTGAAGAATCTGTGTAAGAAGGCGAACTGTGCAGGCAACGAGCTGTGGCTGGCTATCTTACAGTGGAGGAACACACCATCTGAGCAGCCCAGCTCAGAGGCTGATGTCTTGCAGATTGAGGACATCAGCCCGGACAAGAGTGGCTGACGCGCTCCAGAAGCCGAGTGTGATCACTGAGGTTCCAGACAGACTACGGGTCAAACATCAAACAGCAAAGCTCTGATACGACAGGTCAGCCAGGGACCTGCCTGAGCTGAGCATCAGCCAGGACATCAGGATGAAGCCTTTGCCCGGAGACAGGTCAGGCAAGTGGAGAAGAGGAGTCTGTATGCAGCTAGTGGCTCACAGATCCTACCTGGTGGATGTGGAAGGAACTCACTACAGGCGAAACCGAGTCGCTTTATGGCCTGCAGAGGTTGGAGGGATAGAGCTCCGCCACGAGCAGAACAGCGAACAGCCGAGCAGCCCGCCAATTGAGCATACAGGCAGTGTAAGTGGGGACACAAGGGCCAGGAGATGGGACTGCCAGGTCCCTCCAACTCCACCAGCCCAGGGAAGTTTCACCACCCACACCAGAGCACAGGACAGCAGCGGCAGGCGGGCGAAGGTGCCAAAAAGACTGAACCAATGGCAAAATAAATTATATATTGGATAAGTGCTATTATTGTATTGGCGCAAGTCCTCTTAATTCAGCTCTTTGGTTAAACACGCTCCATGCCTCCATCGTTTATTAACACACAGACAGGCCTTACAGGGTTAAAATGTTTGCATTTATAACTGTCCTGTTTCACGTTCTGAGTGACATCTAGCATGGTTCTTCTTTCATTTGTTCTTTAGCAGAAAACCTCCTCACCTGGCTCATTGGTCATGGCAGACCAGGTCAGGAACATGGTGTACAGGCTGATGAACGAGGACTGGAGCAGACCCGACCGCGGCTGAAACTCCTAGAGAAGCAAACACACAAACAGGGGCGGCGTTAGGCCCGGCTACTTGGGCTGAAGCCCCGGATGTTTCATGGAAAGCCCCGGATCTAAATCGCTGAAGTAACATGCAGTACCAAAGTCCAACAGAGAGGGAGCAGCTGGCAGTAGTTTGTATACAGCCTGCCTGAGCCTCCACCACTGAAGAAGCCCTTCAGCAGCCGGCTTCTTCTACACTCTCTGCCTGAAACGCATGAGTGAAGATGGACATAAGGACGTTTTTAGACCAAAAGTACAACGACAGAACCCCAGCTTTGATGAGACTGGTGTTGACTCAGGTTTGTGAGTCTTATTTGAAAATATTTGTTGTGCTGCTGGTTTGCCTAAAGTTAGCTTACTATCAGGTAAAGTTGTTGGAGAAAGAAAGGGAATATTTACTCTCATCTCACACTAAACACTAACAGGAACAATACTCTGCCCTGAAAATGCTTAATATGTAGCTTCAGATTAAAAATGATGTGGTACAAGACATATATATCTGTTGACTAGTGCGTGTCACGTGTGTGTGTGTGTGTGTGTGTGTGTGTGAGCGTGCGTGTGTTAAGCCCCGGATGTTCTTCAGTCATAAATCCGCCCCTGCACACAAATAAAACAAGTGTGGAAATCTGCCCCTTCTACTGTTTCGTGCACTTTTTTAACGTGAAACGTGAGACTTGAGAATAATAATGCAAAGGCCCAACCCCTTTCTTTAGGCTCCCCCCTAGAATCACAGAATCTTGTGGTGGTGGTACAACACCACCTTGCATGACCAGAAACTCCGAACCACACCTCCTCCAACTGTTCAATGGGAGGGGAGAGTCTAAATGCAAATGATACAAGTTTGGTACTCAGCACTTTTCAGTTTTAATGACTAGAGCTCCTCAGATGATTTTGGTTAGCATTTCCTGAACGACTGAGAACCTTCGCCAGCAAAAGAACAGGAAACCTTTCTCTGAGCATGGTCGGATTAAGGAACTGGACCCAGGGCCATTCGAGCTATGATGGGTGCTCCGTCCTGACCATGGTTTAACAACCCTAAATGCAATGTTGGATGTCGGCGTGTACATTTGTGGAAGCTGAATTTCTCTAGGTGTGCTAGTTGTGGGTGTTTGGAGGTTAGGGTTAATACAGTCATGCATGCTCCTGCCCTGAGACCTCCCATACCTGGACTTTATGCAGCACAGAAACCACAGAAGCCACCACACACAGCAGCGTGTTGAAGCCGATGAAGAACTTGTTGATGAAGCACCCATCAGGCTGGGCGTAGAAAACAAAGCACAGCACCACAGCAGTCAGTGAGGTGATGTAGTTCAGGATCATGACAGTCAGCAGCGCTGTATACAGAAGGTGGAAAAGGGCAACTTCAACTGTTTATCAGCTGATCACAAATTATATGAGGTTCAGCGCGTGACTGACCTGCGTACCAGCCTCTGGAATTCCCTTTCTCCATGTTTTGAACCCAGGATTCGTTCCAGGAGTGAGTGAAGTCCACCAGAAGCACCAGCTGGATCAGAATGAAGAAGAATGCTCCACAGGAACCTACAACATACCAGGCTGGGACAAGATAGCATTCATCATTCAGAAAGCTCCTCCATGGTCTCTGTGACCAACAGGGTGTAGGTCTTACTGTAGGTGAAAGGTCCATCTGGGATGTAGAAGGCACCAACTGTAACTACTACCAGTGAAACCAGCTTACAGAACCAGTATCTGAAAACAAGTTATACGTGCTGTGTCAGCATCCCAAGGGTTCTTTTATCTCTAAAGTCCAAACCCAGGATGGGTTCTGTTCTGTTATGCCTACCCATTGTGAATGGCTGCTCGGGGGTCTCTGCTGGTCTTGATGTTCATCAGCAGGATGGAAAAGCCCAGGAACCACATGCTCATGCCAAAGCAGAAGCGGTACACTGCCTTGTAGCCCACAAACATCTCACAGTTCAGGTGAGCCTTCAGGCCTGGAACAGAGGAGCCAGCACCATCCTCACACACACCTGGAATCTACCACAAACCACAGAAGGACAAATCTCATGATTACAGATGACCAAGATGATGAGGAGCTGAGCTCAAAGCCTAAACACGCCCAGTTTAGATTAAGCACAGTCTGACCAGCAGCAGAGGGGAAGATGATTCATGTCAGGTCACAACAGGTGTGTTTTAAAACTCCAGATGTCTAATCAAGATGACACCAGTAGGTGTTTGACATCAGACAGGATCCTCAGACACCAACCAGTCCATGTGAAGGACACATGGTGCATGTGGGATGGGACCAACAGGGACACCTAACCCTGCTAGTTTTTATTGGGGGGTTTTCTGATTGCTCTTTGGTCTTGCTTTTAATAACTTTTCTGTTCTATGCTTTTATTTTACCAAAATGTTTGTTTTATGGTGTTTATGTGTCACTGCAATAAGCACAGCCCCTTGGGCCTCTTTGATTGGTGGCAGGAAGGGGTGTTCTTTAACATTGAATGTGCTACTACTAGTTTACGCATTTAATTATAGATTCACTAGGATAAATACAATAAAGTTTAACTCTCACTAAAAAGAATATTTACTAAGAAATCACAATATAACCATAGAAACACGACTTGGTGTGTGTGTGTGTGTGCGCGCGCGCGTGAGTGTGTGTGTGTGCGTGTGTGTGTGTGTGTGTGTGTGTGCGCGCTCTTTCTTCTCAATCCCCAGTGAGTCATAGTGGATGGCTGCTTATACTGAGCCAGGATCCTCTGGAGGTTTCTTCCTGTTAAAAGGGAGTTTTCCTCTCCACTGTCGCTAAATGCTTGCTTAGTATGAGGATTGCATGAAGTCAGTCAGTGACTCGATGCAATTTGCTGGGTTCCTTTTATAGGAAACTTTCTACTGATCGGCTTAATGAACTGACCTATATTAGAATATTTTATTATGTGAAGTGCCTTCAGACGACTCTTGTCGTGATTTGGCGCTATATAAATAACCTTGAATTGAATTGAATTGAATAGAATAGCTATGTATAAACTATTCAATACAAGAATGAAAGTTTCCTGCCTCATTCTGTGTGTGCTGGCTGAATCACTAGGTGTGACTCTCTAAAACCAACACATGTTCCTCCTTCTTGCCACGTTTTAGAAAAACATTCTTAGAACTTAGCCACTTTTTAAAAGCTGTTGTGAAAGCAGTCATTTTTGGCTGCCACAATGTTAAAGACAGGTCTGAAGTGTGGCGGCTGGTTGTGCCAGGTCATGTTTAATTATAAACTACTTTCTACCCTTTGCTCCTACCCGTTTAAGTTGCTGCTCCACACCAGGGGACAGCATGATGCAGCAAACTATGGTGCCCAGGAGCAGGATGAAGGAGTAGATGATTCTGGACACGGAGGAGTTCCTGCTGCTTGGACGGCACAAGCAAACTGGACAGGCAGCGCTGCACATCTGGGGACAAAATTAAGTCAGAGAAGCATGAGAACAGCACAGTACCGTATGTACTATAACACGTATGGATTCAGAGGAAGTTCCAGGTCAAAGACAGGATGAACTCAGGGACAGAGAGGACAGGAAGACGGGACACGTGAAGACTCAGAGTTGAACAAAAAGAGTAAAACACTGAAATCTGAAAGAGTATTTGAGTGAAGGTGTGACTTCTGAGGATTGTAGAAACAAACATGTCATTAAAAAATACGATTTGAAAATATGAAGGAGACTGTTATGAGACCACTGCTTCATTCAAGATGTGCACATGTGACTGTTCATGTTTGGATCCATGATTCACTTGGTTCTTTGGTAGTTTGGTCATTTTCCTGATGTAGGAAATCTGTTAATGATTCATTTAAACTGTTTCAATCTTGCAATTCTGAATTCCTGCATGAAGGCTGTGTAGCGTACCCAAAGGTCAAGTTATCATAAAAAATGACCAGAAATTTACTTTTGAATTTGCAGACACAAACACCACAGCTGTCTGGCCTCGAAGCAGCAAAGCACTGCACAAGACCTTGTTATCGAACAAGGGAGCCATAATACCTTTGCTCAAGGTCTCATGCAGAAGACGAGACTTCTGCACTTTCACTCTGAATAAAGTTCATCTTCCTTGAATCATTAATGACTTTACAAATTTATAGGTTGATTTAATCAAATGTGTTGAATGAACAAGATGTTTAAATCCCAAAGTGATTGAATATTGTGTGCATTAATCAATGATGTGTTAAAATGAATATTTTTCCTGCAATGATTCCTTTCACTTTCATTAAACTACACCAGATCGGTGTTTGCTGATTTAATGTTAATCTATTCAACACAATACGACTATTCGTCATGTTTAACATTTTTGCTTCACATACCTGTTAAAAAGCTTTCCACTTAAGAGTTAACCTCAGAGTATTTGAGTGAAGGTGTGACTTCTGAGGTACTTTGGTAATGCGTTGCTCTGCAACGCTTGTGGGTGATTTCAGACACAACGGCTTTTTTAAAAGCCACCGAACAGCCTTAGACACAAAATAGACTCTCCAGTTTCCTGCCGTCACCAGAAGATAACCCAGACTGTCATGTTCTGTGTCCCTTCGTTACCCGGCCCCTCCAGTTCCCCACTCCAGGTTCTCCTTTTGTGTTTCGTGGCGCCCTCACGTGTCCTTTGTCTGCGTCTTTCCCCATGTGTCTCCTAATGTTTCTCCATCCCTCTCTGGATTCCTTTTTGTGTTTCATGGCGCCCTCATGTGTCCTTTGTCTGCATCTCTGTTGTGTGTCTTAAGTTGTAGCCCCAGCCTCTTGTTCCCCAGTTCATTGTATGTGTGTATGAGTTTGTGTGTGTCAGTATGTGTATGTGTTTGTGTAAGTTCTTCCCTTAGTCTTTAGGTTTAGTTTTATGTTCATCTGCCCTCTGGTCAAGCTCCTTCCCTTCCCATTTTGTTGATTCCACCAGTGCCTCCTCAGCTCACACTCCTCACACCTGTCACCTGTTTCCCTGATTACCTCCCTCCTGTTTATAAGCCTTGTCTTGTCACTCTGTGTTTGTCGGTCCATTGTTGCTGTCAGTGTGAGTATTCTGTCAGTCTCCAGTTTCCTCGTCTCTAGTTTTACTTGTACTTCTTGTGTCTCAGTTTTTTTATCACTAGTTTTTGGATTTTGAACGTTTTTGGATTTTGGCTCCCCACCCCTTTGGATTACATGGTTTTTGGTTCATCTTAAAATAAAGGATTTTACCTCACATCATCTCCTGCCTCGTGTCATCCTGGGTTTCTGCAATTTGGTTTCAACATCCCTCCCACATCGTGACACAGACTAGGCGGGTCATAATCGGAGCTGCCTACGGGCTCCGTTACCAGAGGTCCACGCCATCAGCAGGGTCCATCTCGACCTCCTGACCCCCTGGGTCGCTTGGGGATCTTCACACAAGTGTGCGTAGACGACACAAATTGCGTCGGATGGTTTTATAAGCAAATCTCTTGCTCATCAAACCATACAGTCAAACTGATTTTACAACCCAGACTCCACAAGCTCAAGCTCAGATACTCACAAGGCTTTGCTAAAACATCTAGCTTCTATTCCATCATTTCACTCATACTTTGTCGTGTACAATCATTTCATTTAGGAAAATAGAGATAAATTCATTTTTGTAAACTATATACTTGACTCTGTCTGAATTAATATGAAGTGCGTGTTCCCTGAATAAGTCAAAGAACCTAAATGGATATTAAGTTAAATATGCAAAGATCAATCAGATTGATAATTCATATGGAACATCACACCTTATTGATCATTTAATAAATAAGTAGTCAATCTTTTACGCTACAGCTGCTCAAAAACACAGCATCACTATTCAGTTACAGGAGTTTTGTTTCCATCTGTTTTGTTTTCTCTTATGGTAATAAAATAAATCGAATGAATGAATGTATTTATGAATGAATGATCTTCGCCTGCTTCACATTAACATACGAGCAAACACCTCTGGTTTCCTTATTGACTCACCTGTTCTTCCTTTGCTGGACCCACTAAAGCCAGACGGTCCTGTCCTCCTCAGTATTTCCGGTTCTGTTCCACACATGCAGCATCTGTAGACATTTGTCTCAGGTTCACCTGACAGACATCAGCTCACATCTTCACGAACACACTGATTTCTGCACACCATTTTACAAACATGTCCATCTTTACTGCCTGAAAGTCTGAGTCAGGTGGAGAAGTAAGTAGAGCTGAGAGATTGTCAACAAGTTAATCCCTCTGCCAGGCAGGCAAAGTCGGCTTAGTCCTCCACAGACTGATCATCACTTGTTCCAGAAGACAATCACTGGAAGCCCCAACAGCTTACAGCAATTGTGATAGAGGCCTCAAATGTTTGATAAACACATGAAACATTTATTACACTCATTTTTGCTACTTGTATAATGTTTACATTTTGTTTAAACCATATTTATTTTATTGTTTAGAAATTTGGGGAGCCACTTGCAAAACTTTTACACAACCATTGCTCATTTTGCAAAAAAGAGCATTGAGAATCATTAATAACAGTAACTATAGAGATCACACTAATCAGTTATTCATTAGATACAAAATACTGAAATTTCCTGACTTGGTAGAGTGGAAAATATTGCAAATAATGTACAGAGCGAATACAAGTAATCTACCAACTAATATTCAGAAAATGTTTCATAAGATGGTAAGTGGGTACATGTTAAAAGGAACTGATGTCTTTGAGAAACCTAGATCCAGAACCAAAGTGAGGGAATGTAACATTTCTGTAAATGGTGTAAGATTGTGGAATGCCATTAACAAGGAATTTAAAGAATCAACTACACTTGCAATATTTTAAAAATGTATAAAATCTAATGTATTTAGTAATTATGAAAAGGAAAATTATAATGTCAAAGATTAGACGTGAAAATATTAGAAAGTGACTGAGGTTACACTGTGTTTGTTTGGCGGATAATTTTATTTCGTAAAAAGGGGCAGAAATCATAAGATTTTTTCTTCTATCTGCTCCTTTTCATTCAAATGTTTTTTTTTCAATATGTTAATGTATCCTGTATTTGTTTGTGTTTATTTTATACATTGTGAATGAAATAAAAGATAAAAAAAAAAAATTAATTGATTCACTGTTCTGTCTGTAGTGCGATGGGGTTGTCCCTGGGGGAAGAGTTTGGGGCTGAGACAGCAGTCCTGTGGAGTCCCTGAGCTGATGGGGAGTTCAGAGGAGATCCTGCTTCCCATCCTCACCATCTGTGGTTAGTTTGGGAGAAATCCAGTCACAGGATGGAGTTGTGACCCCGAGGTCGGTCAGCTTCACCTTCGGTTGGTCTGATGGAGCTGGACAGATAGGCCAATATGTCCTGCTCCTGTCCAAGAGTTAGAGTGTATGGTAGAGATCAATGTTGTTTCATTTTTATTTATATGTTTGCAAGGATTAAGAAGTTAATAATCCAGACATCAGCTCGTTTCTGACGGAAGTCCGATAGCTCTGGAGCTCAGAGAAGAGCTCAGGTGAAGACATCTTCAGTTCCTGATGGCCACCTCTGTCTGCTGTTCCTTCAACTGATGACTCGTTTAAATCAGGTTTGTTGGAACAAGAAAACTGCTGTAATGTGCAGGACTGGAGCCATGAAGGACTTGCTTTAGATGCTGACAGCTGGTTAAGCTTTGCTAAGACAGAAGAAATGCTGCCACCTAGTGGACAGATGACACCTCAGTCGGTTTTCATATAAAATATTGGGCCGGCATGAGAATGTATGGTGAAATGATCTGCAGGAGTGTGAATCCAGAAAATCAGAACCAGCCCCGCCTACGATGCAGCACAGCTTGGCAGCTCAGGCCCAGTGAACTCAGCCTGGAAGGAGGGACAAACAAAGAGACACATAAATGGGGAAGAGATGGAAATAGAAAAAGGGTGGAAAGGACAGAATGGCTCCACCCCCCACACCACCCCAGGAAATGACATTAAAACGCTTAAAGAAAGAAAAAAGTTTACACTGAATTTTACATTTTCTACATTTAAAATGTTGTCGTTGATTAGCTTTATAGTCCAGCCTCACTATTAAACACCTAAATGTTTCAGAGTGTTCAGATTAATAGCTTGGGATCGGGACAAAGATTCTACCATTCTGGCATTTCAGGGGAGGGCCACAGTGTGACGTAAAACCAATGTGTGCAGGAGTGGAGAGGAGGCTATGCCACTGATGCTTTTTATCATCTTTCCTGGTTCAACACATCTCTGGGATCGACTAAATATCTGGTCAACATGCTAATCCAGACTGCAGCAGCCCAACAGCATGAATGCAAGGAGAAGACATCTCTGGGTCCGTTCATAAATACTGACTAGGTCATTCGACTTTCTGGCTGAAGAACTTACAACAGTCAGGCAACAACAGAAAAGTATTATGGATTTGGTACAAGAAGTAAAAAAAACGGAAACAACAAAATGTTGAGAAGGACAAACAAATCTATATTTTGCAAAAAACGAGTGGATGAACTAGAGCAATATTCAAGAATAAATGATGTTGTCATTACAGGAGTTGATATAAAACCTAGATCATATGCTCGAGCAGTAGCAAATAATAATGGGGAGGAACCAACTGATACAGATATGAATCACGTGGAAAGGTAGGTGACGACTTTCTTTCACTCACAGGGTATTGAAATCAGTGAGAACAACATTGAAGCATGTCATGTTTTATCAAGTAGGAATACGAAGGGGAAAGTGTCTGTGTTAATGAGATTTGTGAGCAGAAAGATGAAAAATTCACTCCTTAAGCAGGCAAAAAAGTTGAAAGGAACTGAGGTCTATGTAAATGAGCATCTGACAAAGTATAATGCAGAAATTGCAAAGAAAGCCCGTTTTCTGAGGAAGCAGAAAAAGATCCAGGGTACCTGGACTGCAAATTGTAAAATTTTCGTTAAATTGAATGGAACTCCAGAAGAAGCAAAGATACTGATTAAAAGTTTAGAAGATTTGGATCAATTTCACCGTCACCTTATCGTGGTGGAGGAGTTTGAGTGCCCTAATGATCCTAGGAGCTATGTTGTCTGGGGCACTTAGTGCCCCTGGTAGGGTCTCCCATGACAAATTGGTCTTAGGTGAAGGGTGAGACAAAGAACGGTTCGAAGGATCTTTCATGGCGGTTAAAACGAAGAGTCGGAGTACCCGGCCCGGAGGGTTACCGGGGTCCCACCCTGGAGCCAGGCCTGGGGTTGGGGCCCGTGAGCGAGCGCCTGGTGGCCGGGCTTTCGCCCATGGGGCCCGGCCGGGCCCAGCCCGAACCGGATACATGGGCTCGTCCAACTGTGGACCCACCACCCGCAGGAGGAACATGAAGGGTCCGGTGCAATGCGAATCGGGTGGCAGACCAAGGCGGGAGCCTTGGCGGTCCAATCCCCGGACAAGAAAACTAGTTTTTGGGACATGGAACGTCACCTCGCTGGCGGGGAAGGAGCCGGAGCTTGTGGCAGAGGTTGAGCGGTACCGGCTAGATATAGTCGGACTCACCTCGACACATTGCATTGGCTCTGGAACCCGAGACCTGGAGAGGGGTTGGACACTCTACTTTGCTGGAGTTGCTCCGGGTGAGAGGCGGAGGGCTGGGGTTGGCTTTTTGTTAGCCCCAAGACTCTCTGCCTGTGTGTTGGGGTTTACCCCGGGGGACAAGAGGGTAGCTTCCTTGCGCCTTCGGGTCGGGGAACGGGTCCTGACTGTTGTTTGTGCTTATGGGCCAAATATCAGTTCAGAGTACCCACCCTTTTTGGAGTCCCTGGGACGAGTGCTAGATAGTGCTCCATCAGGGGACTCCATTGTCCTGCTGGGGGACTTCAATGCTCACGTGGGCAATGACAGCTTGACCTGGAGGGGTGTGATTGGGAGGAACGGCCCACCTAATCTGAACTCGAGCGGTGTTTTGTTATTGGACTTCTGTGCAAGCCGCAGTTTGGCCATAACGAACACCATGTTCGAACATAAGGATGCCCACCGGTACACTTGGTACCAGGGCAGCCTAGGTCACAGGTCGATGATAGATTTTGTAGTCGTATCATCGGACCTGCGGCCGTATGTTTTGGACACCCGAGTGAAGAGAGGGGCGGAGCTGTCAACTGATCACCACCTGGTGGTGAGTTGGATCAGATGGCAAGGGAACATGCCGCGTAGACCTGGCAGACCCAAACGCATAGTGAGGGTCTGCTGGGAACGCCTGGCAGAAGAACCTGTCAAGACGGTCTTCAACTCCCACCTCCGGCAGAGCTTTGACCACGTCCCGAGAGCAGTGGGGGACATTGAGTCCGAGTGGGCCTTGTTCCACTCTGCGATTGTTGAGGCAGCTGTTGCTAGCTGTGGTCGTAAGGTGGCCGGTGCCAGTCGTGGTGGCAACCCCCGTACCCGCTGGTGGACACCAGAGGTTCGGGGAGCCGTCAGGCTGAAGAAGGAGGCCTACAGGGCGTGGCTGGTCTGTGGGTCTCCGGAGGCAGCAGACAGGTACCGGATAGCCAAGCGGGGTGCAGCAGTGGCAGTTGCCGAGGCAAAATCTCGGGCGTGGGAGGAGTTTGGTGAGGCCATGGAGAAAGACTATCGATCGGCTCCAAAGAGGTTCTGGCAAACTGTCCGGCGCCTCAGGAGAGGAAGGCAGCAACTCGCTCACACTGTTTACAGTGGGGATGGGGAGCTGCTGACGTCAACTGAGGCTATAGTCGGACGGTGGAAGGAATACTTTGAGGAGCTCCTCAATCCCACCAATGCGCATTCCGAGGAGGAACCAGAGCTGGGAGGCCTGGGGATGGACTGTCCGATCTCGGGGGCAGAAGTTGCTGAGGTAGTCAAACAACTACACAGCGGCGGAGCCCCGGGAGCGGATGAGGTTCGTCCTGGGTATGTCAAGGCTATGGATGTTGTAGGGCTGTCATGGTTGACACGTCTCTACAACATTGCGTGGTCATCGGGGGCAGTTCCTAGGGAGTGGCAGACCGGGGTGGTGGTCCCCATCTTTAAGAAGGGTGACCTGAGGGTGTGTTCCAACTATAGGGGGATCACACTCCTCAGCCTCCCTGGAAAGGTCTACGCCAAGGTACTGGAGAGGAGGGTCCGATCGATAGTTGAATCTCAGATAGAGGAGGAGCAATGTGGTTTTCGTCCTGGCCGTGGAACTGTGGACCAGCTCTATACCCTTGCAAGGGTGATGGAGGGGGCATGGGAGTTTGCCCAACCAATCCACATGTGCTTTGTGGATTTGGAGAAGGCTTATGACCGTGTCCCCAGGGGCACCCTGTGGGGGACGCTCCAGGAGTATGGGGTGGGTGGCTTTCTGTTAAGGGCCATTCAGTCCCTTTACCAGAGGAGCGTGAGTTTGGTCCGCATAGCCGGTAGTAAGTCGGACCTGTTCCCAGTGAGGGTTGGACTCCGCCAGGGCTGCCCTTTGTCACCGGTTCTGTTCATCATTTTTATGGACAGAATTTCTAGACGCAGACGTGGTGTGGAGTGTGTCGAGTTTGGTGGCAGGAGAATCTCGTCTCTGCTTTTTGCGGATGATGTGGTCCTCCT